CAGGTACAACTTTCTTCCTCAAAAGAATTCTTTCTCTTTTTATATATAATAATCTCTTTTGTTTAGTCTCTCTGATAACTAATCTTAGCTATCTAACTCCTCAGTTCCTCCTTCCTTGAGTGTTCAGGGGCTGACTCCAGTATTTATGACAGGTATAATCTCTCTGACTTGATTCCTGCCTTAGTTTTATTCCACTACCCTAACTAACATTTGTGTCTAATTTGACCTAACCCCGCATCCCATCTACAGTAGTTTTAAAAAATGTCCATGGGGCACCTGGCTGGCTCAGTCGGTATAGCATGCGACCCTTTGTCTTGGTGTTGTAAGTTTGAGCCCCATGTTGGGGCTTAAAAAATCCAAATTTCATGATATTCCCTCCTCCAAAAAGTAGACCAGGATTCTCCTCCCCTTGAGAGTGGACTGGACTCAAAGAATCACTTCTAATAAACATAATAAGGCAAAAGTGACAGTGTGATTTCCAAGACTAGGTCATGGAAGGTACTGAAGCCTCTTCCTTTCTCTCTTGGGTCACTCAACCTGACAGAAGCCAGCTGTCCATGTCATGAAGACTTTCAAGCAACTCTATGGGCAGGTACATGTGGAAAGCAACTGAGTTCTCCTACCAATAGCCCACAAGAGGTCTTCAGCCAAGAGTCATGTGTTATGGGTTAAATTGTGTCCCCCCTAAAAGATAAGCTGGAGTATTAACTTAGAGGTCCACAGTACCTAAAAATATGCCCTTATCTAAAATAGAGTTCTTACACAGGTAATCAAGTTAGAATAAAGTCATTAAGATGAGCCCTAATCCAATATGACTGATGTCCTTATGAAAGAGGGAAGAGACACGCACACAGGGAGAACACCATGTGGAGATGAATGCAGAGATCAGGACAATGCAAGTACAAGCCACGGAACACCAAAGACTGCCAGCAAACCACAGTAAGCTAGGAGAGAGGCATGGTATAGATTCTTCCTCCCAGCTCTCTGAAAGAACCACCCTGCCAATACCTTGATCTTTCACGTCTAGCCCCCAGAACAGAGACGGTACATTTCTGCTGCTCTAAGCCACCCAGTTTGGGGTACTTTGTTACTGCAGCCCTGGGAAACTAACACGTCATGTGAATGAACTGCTTTGGAAGCAGATCATCTAGTTCCAGACAAGCTTTCAGATGACTGTAGCCCTAACCATTATCTTGACCTCCACTTCCTGAGACAACCCTAGCCAGAACTGACTGCTAAATGGCTACTGAATTCCCCACCCACGAAATTATGAGATAATTGTTTGATGTTTTAACTGTTGTGATGGACGGAACTGTGTCCCCACCCTATATTCATATGTTGAAACCCTAACCCCTCAAGTGACTATATTTGGAGACAGAGCCTTTGAAGAGGTAATTAAGATTAAATGAAACTGTTAGGATGAGGCCCTAATCCAGTATGACTGGTGTCCTTATAAGAAGAGGAAAAAACACCAGGGATGGGCACATGCAAAGAAAATGCCTTGTGAGGACACAGGGAGAAGGTGGCCATCTGCAAGACAAGGAGAGAGGCCCCAAGAGAAACCCACCCTACTGACATCTTGACCTTGGACTTCCAGCCTCTAGAACTGTGAGAAAATAATGTTCTGTTGTTTAAGCCATTCAATCTGTGGTATTTTGTTATGGGAACCCCAGAAGAATAATATAGCTGGTAAGTTTGGGGATAACTTATCACACAACACAGATAATATACTTTCCCACACCAGCCCCCCAAACCCACACATTTTCCATCTCCATTTATCACCCAAAATTATCTTAACAGTCTAGCCCCAACGTATGCAAATTAGAAACATCAGCAACATTTCTTTGAACAGGTTTGGTGTTTTGAAACTTGATTCCGTTGGAGCGCCTGGGTGGCTCAGTCCTTAAGCATCTGCCTTCAGCTCAGGTCATGATCCCAGGACCCTGGGATTGAGCCCCACAGCAGGCTCCCTGCTCAGCAGGGAGTCTGCTTCTCCCTCTGCCTGCCACACCCCCCCAGCTTGTTCTCTCTCTCCCCTCTCCCCATCAAATAAATAAATAAAATCTTAAAACAACAACAACAACAAAGAAACTTGCTTCCCTCACAGATTATGGGAAAGGCTCTGGGATAAATCTGTCAAGTAAGGAACAAGTCTTCCTATTAGGACCTCTAACTTTTAAGAGAAAGGAGTAAAAGATGACAATTAGCCTATGCATGACCCTGTTTGATTTTAGACTATGAGTACGACCAAGATCATAATAGGAAGCTTATACTTCTAACTCAATGGGAAACTTGTGTCCATTGGAAATAACCACTACCTTCTCTCTGCTTTCCATAGCAGCTTGTATGTCTGCTAAGGATGTTGAATTATATGAAATTGTTAACCCCTCAACCAACAAACACTTGCTTTTCCAGACTTGTCTCAGTTATATTTTTAAATTCATTATAGTTCCTAGCACAGAGCAAACAATAAATGTTTAGAGAATGACCGGATCCAGAAGAACTGTCCCCTTTAATTCTATCCGCAGGCAGTCCTACGCCAAGACTTTAAAAAGGCAGCGCTGAGCTGAGAACCTTGTTCATTCATCTTACTCACCTTGCTCATTCATCTTACTCCTGTGGGAGAATTCCTTCTGCTGTCACTCCTGACAAATCCAAAGTCTGGTCTGTTTGATTTCTCTGGTAATCAGTTTTCAGGTTCTGATTGTCAGGTAAGCTCTCTCTAACTTAACTCCTGCCTGTCCCTTTCCCATCACAGTGACCATTTTCTGCCTTGCGTTTTCTGAACATAATCCTAAGGTCCCATGCATTCCATTTAGCCCTTCCTCAAGGGTCGATTCTCTGCCCTTTTACCTGGCTTCACCCTGCTTATAACCAATCAGCACCCTCAGCCATCTCACCTATCCAGCTCCAGGGCAGGCCCAAAAGAAAATTCAGCAAAAGTTTTTAAGGTTGAGAACCTACATCTTATGACTTGGATGGCCTTAAATCTCTTTAGTTTTGGTTCCTGGAATTGTATTCTACTTATTTGTTGGGGGATGGGAGTCTAGTTCTGCACTATTTTAATGTCTATATAACAGATATTATAAGAATCATAGAACTGTGCACGAATGTGGTTGGAAAAGCTCATCTTGAGTGTTTTCTTAGCCCAAAACTCGAAACTGCTTTCACCCTCTCCTACTACCAGAGGAATTTAGGTTTCTGTTAAGTATCTGAGGGAACCACACTTATTGGAGCCAAAAAGAAGCTGCAGTCTCCAGTAACACCAATATTTCTAGTTACATTTCATACTTAACCCTGGTCTCTACCTTATTTAGATGTATTTAGAGCTTCTCGAGCTAATTTCTAGAAACATTCAGGGGCAACCCTTTTTAAAATTGACAATCTCAAAAAGATCCTTAATGCGTTCACGAATTAACTAAGGATACAACTTGCCTTGAGTGTTGCCAAGTAGTTTCTCCAGGCAAAAAAAACTTTTGGAGGCTGAGTATTTATGTAAAAACATTGTAACTACTCATAATAAGAGCTAACATTTTTTTTTAAAGATTTTATTTATTTATTCATGAGAGACAGAGAGAGAGAGAGAGGCAGAGGGAGAAGCAGGCTCCCAAGCAGCAGGGAGCCCGATGCGGGACTCCATGCCAGGACCCTGGGACCATGCTGTGAGAAAACTCATGCACAAAAAACGTAACTTGTCCAAAGACATGCAGCTGGTAAATCATCAAGTGGGATTTAAACCACTTGAAGTCTCTGAATCCAGAACCCCACTGCCTCTTGGGCTTCTAGCAGCTTTACTAATGAAATTCCCTTCTGGTATTCAGCTGCCGGCATAAAGATTTCACTGGGTTATCTCATCCTTTTGTTGCCAGGACCTGGATAAGGATAGAAGTGTCTCCTGGACTAATCTATTTCTGTCTAGAAGAGAGCCCTTTGACAATATGTCAGTACTCATCCAGGAAGTATTCAATAAATGTTTACTGAATGAATGAGGCTAGTTTGGAATTTGTTCAAAATAAATGACTCTTTTATACCCACCTAGGAGTTAAAAAAAAAAAAAAAAGAGGGACTGTCTCAAAATCTTCACTCACTAAGTGCTCACGCGGAAAACTGCATTCCATTTTGGTGACTCAGGAAGGTGAAATCACAGAGAAAACTGGGGGTAGAGGGGGATGCGAGTGGAAGGTGGAGGATGGGGAGAATTGCTCTGTAAGAAAAGAGGACCGGGTGCTAGACGCAAAGGGATGAATCTAAGTCCTAAGTCTAACCGAAGTCCATAATGAAAGGTCAGAAAATCCAAGGCGAGGGAAGATAGTAAAATTTGAGGAGACCCTCAGAGTGATTCTTCCAAAATTTGTTTCAACACTCCACCCTCACTCTAAAATGTTCAGATCTTGGAGAAAGTGATGTTGCAAATCATCTGGGTCGCCTGGGTGACTTCCTGGGATAGTGCCTATAGCTATACTACGAAAAGGTCAGAATGAAACACAACAGCGCCCGAGGGGGTGAAACGCGCCAGCTGCTTCCCCAGAGGCCAAGTAAACCACCAGCCACAAGGAATTGTCCGTATCAGACCAAAAGCAGTTTAGGAAGCCCGCTGCAATGGACCAAAGCAGCCACCAGATGGCACTCAAGGTTTAGGATCGTGGGGACTTCCGGCGCCCCCCCCCGCCCGTCCCCCCCTAGGGGCCCTCCGGTATGGTCCGAGGCGGGCGCCCAGGCCAACCCGGCCTCTTTCTTGCGGCGACTCCCAGCTGCGAGGTCAAGAGTCGGACTCGCTCTGAATGGACTCAGGCACTGGCCCAGGACTGCAAGTGCCTCGCGGCCGGCCGTCACCCAGCCCGCCCCGCGCCGAGGGCGCTGATCCGGGATGGGGAGGCGCGCGCGGCGGGCGGCCATAGGCTGCGGCGCGGGGCGGGAGCGGGGCGAGGCACGGCCCGCGGCGAGGCGGGAATCTGCCCCGCCCCCCCCCGCGCCCCCGCCCCCCCGCCCCGGCTGCGGCCCGAGGGCGCTGGGCCCGGGCCGGGAGTGGGAGCGACCCTGCGTCTGCGGCGCACTCTGCGGGTCCGCCACCGGCCCCGGGCCCATTCGGGACCCAAACGCTGAGCGCAGCCTCCAGCCGGGGCGTTTCAGCGGCAGGGGGTACAACCGAGGTGGCGTTTCCGGAGTTCGGAGGCACTGCTTGACGCGGCTATTTGGTTTTTCTAGTTTTCAACTACCGAAGAAGGTGTTTGGGTATCAGAGACATGAATTACGCACGGTTCCTCACCGCCACGAGCGCAGCGAGAAAGCCTTCTCCCATCCGAGTCGTGAGTGAGTCCTGGGCGGGCGCCCCTCCTCCAGGGGTGGGGGTTTCTCGCGGAGCCTCCAGCTGCGGTGCCTACGGTCAGCGATGGCGTGGGTTCATTCATTCAACTGTGAAAGCTCCCAGTGAGCCAAGCTAAGCGTGCAAACCTGAAACAGGGACAGACTTTGTTTTCAGAGAACTTGGGCCGGAACGGGAGGCGGGGAATAGGGTATCTCAGCTGTTGTGGGACACGTCCTTGGAAGAGAGAGGGTGTGCTGTCCAGAAAGGCTCTTCCCTGCAGGATGAATAGATGTTAGGCACATGTGCAGATGTGTGCGGAGTGGGGAGGGCCTGGTAAAGTGGAAAGGAGTGAGCCCTGAAGCCTGACGGGCAGGTAGGCGCTAAAGGGAGGAGAGGACGGTTTTCTGTTATTGTGGCCCCTTGCTTAACTTGCTGGTTGCTCTGCCTTAGTTGGACGTCTCCATCCTTTAGTTCCTCCACCAGTGAGGTAGGTCCAGAAAAAGTAATTTTACGTGTTTATTTTAGATTAGTATTCTGTCACTAGAAATTGTTCAGCTTTACAGTTTTATTGAATGCAATATATTGAGCAATCTCTGTTTATGAAAAGTCTTCAATGGAAACGTTTCTTCTCTTCCGTATGTATTGTAGCTGAGACTTGGAACAGGGCACCGAAATCAGTCATCTCCTTGGCTTCTGGATCACCAAACCCCAACACGTTCCCTTTTACGACTGCTGTTATCACCACAAAAAATGGAAAGCCCATCCAATTTGATGAAGAGATGATGAAGAGAGCACTTCAGTATTCTCAAAGTGCCGGGTAGTTATCGACAGACAACATAATTTTGTTCATTTTCATGAGCAATATTCTAATGCCCACTGATAAAGTAACGTGTCTTTTTTAACTGGGTATTCCACAGGTAGGAAGGTTTGGGGAAGAGTTTCCAAAGAATAATTAAGAATAATTAAGAGCAACAGGTTTATTAAATGCTTAACCCTCCTCAGTGACTGCTCCTTGACCTTAAATAATGAGAGGCTAATTTCCCCGTAGAAGCCAAGAGAAGGCAAATACCACTGGAGCTGAGACTGGGGGAAAAGAAAGGAGTTAGGGGAAGAGAAGCAGGTTAGGAGGAAGGAGAAAAGGACAATCCAGGAAGCAGCAAATTTTAAGTCCTGGGGGGGATGGATTTTGTAAAAATTGTGTTCCCTTAATAGTTGCAGACAGCTATGCAAATACTTTGCCCTCTGTTCAGATGTCTTTTATTTTTTTTAAGATTTTATTTACTTGAGAGAGAGAAAGAACAAGTGGGGGAAGGGGCAGAGAGAGAGGGAGAAGCAGACTCCCCACTGATCAGAGAGCCCAACCAGGGCTGGATCCCAGGACCCCAGGATCATGACCTGAGCGCCTAAGGCAGATGTTTAACCAACTGAGCCACCCAGGCACCCCCAGTTGTCTTTAATTTCTTTTTTTTAATGGTACATTTTATTTTGCATATTTTATCAAAACAAAAAAGTAGGACTGAGATTTGTACTGAAATATGAAAGGTAGGCCACAAAACAAAACTAGCATAATTCGAGATCTACTTTGTAAAAGGTAACAGTAATCAGAGAAGCAGATCTTTTTTTCTGATTTTTTTATTGTTATGTTAGTCACCATACATTACATCATTAGTTTTTGATGTAGTGTTCCATGATTCATTGTTTGTGTATAACACCCAGTGCTCCATTCAGTA